CCACAACAAATCAATACCTCTGGGGGTACTGATCCAGGAGTTTCCTTGTCTTCTGGATTGGTTCAAAATTACAAGGCTACGGAGTTGAACGTAAGTAGTCGTAAACCCATGAAATTGGGTCGGCTGTTCAACGACGGTTATAAAATAAAATACTTGATAGAAGAGCAGCGATGGTGCAGGGGATAGAGCGTTCGCCTTCCAAAGAGGCGAACCCAGTCGATACGATTTCTTCATCCGGCTTGTACCGACCACAGTGCTGACGTGAAATATCCTCAGTGGTAGACGGATCATGGGTTAGAGTCCCTTGCAGTCAGGCTATCCGTGGGAGGTTATCCTCGTCTTCCTCTCCATGTAACGCAAATGCTGGTTAGCTCCATCAGAAAGTCCTCCACAAAGGCAAATTTTTCCCAATGCTTGATCCAGGACTCATCTTCGAGAGAACGGGAATTCGAATCCAGCCAGTTGAAGAATCCCGTGTATTAAATGGTGTCTGGTGTACTTTAAATATGTTGGGGTTACAAAGTCCTCCAAGCACCCATAGCAAATCAATACCTCTAGGGTTTTTGATCCGGGAGTTCCCTTGTCTTTTGGATTGGATTTAAAATTACAAGGCTACGGAGTTGAACATTGGTAGCCGTAAACTCAAATTTGGGTCGGCCATTCAACGACGGTTATAAAATAAAATACTTGATGGAGTTTCCTTGTCTGCTGGATAGGGTTCAAAATCATAAAGCTACGAAGTTGAACATTGATAGTCGTTATTTATCCTCTCATAATCAATTTTCATCTCGAAATTTTTTCTAGCAGCAATAGAAATTTCATGGCTTACACTAGGTTTGTATAAACTCCCTTTCATCCATATTCTTAATAAAAATTAAAATACTTTTAATGGAGCATGGAGATGAAAGAGAATTTGCGATGAAAAGTTTCTCCCGTGATAAAGCCATCTTCTTAAGAACATATCAGGCAAAACAACATGTGTTCGTTAATATCAAATTTGTAAAACACAAATTATTTGTTTTATATTGAATTAAAGTTATATGGAATTAAGAGGGAAGTATCAAATACTTAGATCAAAGAAATCAAATTATATTTATCTGTCCAAAGTGAATATCTATTATTCAAACAAAAGATCAAAAACTTTATAAATATACAGATTTCGCATTGCTGCGTAGAATGCAATTATGTACACAGTCCAATTGCTACGTTAATGTATATTGCTATACAAAGTTTTCACTTTGTAAAGCAATATATTGTTATATATACTGCATACAGAGGTTTATAAAAATTCAAAACTTCCAGAAGCCAGGACCGAATTTTTAGAGGCAGCTTGGAATCGAAAGTAGCATCAAAACTTTTTGCTTTTATGAAATTACCGGAGTATCAAGTAGATTATTATTTCTAACGTGGTACTATATTAGAGATTTTAGAGCTACCTCCCCCCTTAAAATTTTTTTTTTTCAATTTTTAGATTTTAAAAAGAACTTATGCACTCCTGATAATATATATATATATATATAGTAAAAGCTCGATAAAACGAGTATGTTAAGGCATATTACAAGAAACCAGCTATTATGTCAAATTTCTAAGCCACCGTCAAAACCCTAATATAAAATTGTATGTTTATAATGAGTTAAAAATTAGCAGCATTCCGCTATTACGACAAAAATTGTCTTCAGAAAAATACATTTTTCTGTTGTTTAAGTGAGCAATATTATGTGAAAAAGACTTAAATGGAAAACAATTTTATTAATTTCAGATGAAGAGAAAAACGAACATCGTTTCCTACTTAAATTTTAATTCCTTTTTTTTTTATAAAGATGTGTGTGCGACCATCAGTTTATTTATTTTCTTCTTAACAAAAAATTTCTTTTTAAAAATTCTGCTGTACATAAAACAATACATAAATGTATATGCAAAATATATTTTTTTTTGTTGACCACATATCCACGACGTGACGCAATTCCCTTTCATAAAAACTTGCTATTCAAATCAACATTTATTGTTATCAATGAATTCAAAAGGTATAGCACTTCCTTTCCTTTTCTTTTTGGAAAACCTTGTTAAAACACTCTTGTTGTCGAAATTTTAACCTCTTATGAAGTTCAGAGCTTCACAATTTAGTCTACAATCTGTCAACAATTTAGTCTACAAAAGCAGCCTACTCTAGATGAGTATTTCAAATTAAAATAGTTATTTAAAGAAAAAGAGGTAAATATACCAATTCCATTTTTAAAAAAATATTTTTATTGCTATTTCAACCTTAAGAAAGTGTCATTTCTTACAATGATAAATTCTTGACTAAAAACACAATTTCATCTACTATTATAATTTGTCGCTATACCGGACTTTTACAGTGTATTTGTCTATAAAATTCAATTATGTAATACAATTGCTTTTGACATTAAGTTTTTATTTATGTGATAAGAGTAAAAAAAATAACAATTTCTATCAGCATTCACTAAAAAGACGTAAAACAAATAAATTTCCATTACTTGTTTATTCTTTATTTCCATGTGAGTATACAAAGGATGAGTTGGCTTATTTCTACCATCTAAATCAGCTAACACACTTTGCATTTTATATCGAGTTGCTTCCAAATAAGTTAGCATAGCACGCATCTGGAAAAAAGGAAAAAAAAGCAAAACAAGCATTTTTATTCATGATATATTTTGTGACAAAATATTCTCGATTCACATAGTTTAATCTCGATTAAATTACCAAAAAAATTTAATATTTCAAATTAGATTCTGTTCTTTTTAATTCTTAAATATTGATTTTTTACTCCAATTAATTTGTAGGCATCGAAATCGATAATTTTTTTCCACGCTTTTTGATAAGGAATCTAAAAATACATCTTTCAAAATATATATTTACAAAAGTTATTAAGGAGCACATTGAATATAAAATTAAGATGTTTAGTTCTTCCATTCTTATCTTATTGACTTGTGGCATAAAAAAATTTAAGAATCAAAATCCAAGAACTTTAAACAGTTATGCAATATTTACATAGAATACAATATAAACTAATCGTTCATGAAGTTTAAAGCACATATCACATTGATTCATGTGATTTTGAAATTAGATAAATTTTTTAATGATCATAGAAAATAACAAAACTAAATCAATAATTTTATTCAATGAAAGAAACCTGTTTTTTTTCTTCTTTTTTTAAAAAAGAAATTTTTAATGTGCCATTTAAATATTACCTAAGCATGTTTTATAAATTTTTATCACACCCTTTTGTCAGCAAAAATAAGCAAATTACGAACTCATGCTTAGTAAACCAAAACTATGCTTAAGTAGGAAGGTCGCAATACACTAACAGCATTGTTTTTTACTTTAACTTTACTTGTAGTAATCTGATTTTATAAATAAATTCAATATAAAGGATGCACATGCGCAAAACAATTTTTACGTTTTCAGTCATTTTAAAACATTTTGAATAGGGTATTCTGTAGGAATCATTTTGTTTTCTAAGGTGTAAATAATATGCTATTTTTATAACTGCTGTGAGTTTGCAACTGTAACTCATGACTGTTAGGTCAATTTAGCCTATCTAAAGCCAGAGCTGTCTACGCTTATTTTGAAAATGGAGCAAAACGTCAATATGGAGAAAAGCCACAGTTTTGCAAAAATGAAAAGGGTTTGTGGTCTAACTTTTTTAATATTTAAAAACTTACTCCAATGCTGCATTACCTGGGCTCATAAAATTTTAAAAAAATGAAACTAAGGCAGTGATTATGATAATTTTTATCTAGGTGGAAAAATGTCGCCAAATTGGCAATTTTTTAAAAAAAGTTTAATAACTTTCAAAATATGTAAGTAATTTGTCTGTTCTAATGCCCAGACAATTCTTCACGGAAAGATTATATGTATAGTTTAAAATCATCGCACTGCTTCAAGTGTGAGGCATTTAAACTATGGCTTTTTTACTTTCCTTGGTGACAGAGCTTCGAAAAACAGCTTTAAAAGAGTTAGAGTGTGGAATCGATGTTAGCATTATGCATGCTAACATCGATTCCAATTAAACCTTCAAAAGTAAACTACAATAATGAATTGAATGAATTTTTAAAAAGGAAGGCGTTACATTTTGAAGCTTCTCAAACACGTCTTGCTGAGCATCTGCATCTCCAAAAGTCGGCGTCTCTTGAAAAACTTTAGCTAAATTCTCGACTCCCTGTTTGCCTTTTCTTTCTAACTCCAGATCATGTTTGAGGAGGTTTAGAAACCTCTGGAGGATTTCTTTTCTTCTCTCCTTCTTCATTTCATTGTTTAGATTTTCAGCCTGAAGAAAAAAATTTTTTAAAAAGAGTAAGCCAATAAAATCAAGTGTACCTATACAAAAACGCCTTTATATTAAACAATGTTTAGGGAAAAATCACAAAGTAAATTTATTGTAAACCAATTATTTTCCATTTAATGCATAATTATAGCATAATTATTTTTGTCTTAATTTTAAAAATAAGATTATCATTGTTGTATATAGACTTATAGTCAACTATCATTACATACATATTTAATTGTAGTTATTCTTATCTGTCTTTTCAATTTTGTGATATTAAAAGTGTATATATTCATATATATATACAAATAATAAAATAATATAAATATAAAATAATAGAAAACTATTAGTGGGAAAAACCAAAAGTCATTCTCAAGACACATCTTTTGGTCAAATTTAATGCGATATTTCTGAATAAAGAACAATTACCCTAAGATAAAAATTATTCTTTATATGTGTCGATATCGCTAAAAAAATCAGTTGAAAAAGAGCATGAAATAAAAGAAAGCGGAAACAAAACTTACCGTCGTGTAGCAATATGTGGATTAGGTTTAAAAGTGAAATACTTATTTAACAGTTAACAAAGTTNAGGTAGGAATTGTTCGGGTATATTTGGACCAGTTCCTTTAGTTTCTATTAGCTTCTGTAAATCCGCTCCAACATCTACTGTGTTAAGAGTAGTTTTCAGCCTATCAGAACACTGTTGGAAAAAAATATTTATTAAAAACACAAAAAATGCAAGACATAAACAAAAATAATAAAGTCACCAAGAAAAATATTCTGGGCACTCAGGATATACAAGTTATCCCAAACAATAATAACAGTTTTGATGTATTAGAAACGCTACTTTATAATATCGCACTATACTAAATACAGAAAAACAAGCAAAAATGAAGAAGAAAAGGTATCGATTTTTTAAAAATGAAAATGTTTAAGAAACGATGAAATTGTCTGAATAAAATTTTAAAATTTTTTTTTTTCAAAACTTAAGGTTCAGTATAAAGTAACCTAGTTTCAATTCTTCAAATTTTGCTTTTCCATTTGTCTTTCAGAACATAAATTAACAAGTTTACAAATTAACAAATATGCGTAAAAGCAATTTCTAATAATGTATAGAAAAAAAATACGATTTTAGATTATTATTTATTAAATTTATTCAAATCCCCCCCCCCCCCNGTAACCCCCCCCCCCCCATAAAAAAAACTTTGCTGAAAAATAATTTTCCAAATAATACTTTGCCGAACATTCGGCTTCAATATTTAGCCAACCGAATATTCGGCAAAATAGGCCTAATACCGAATAGTGGCCAAATATTCGTTACATCCGTAGAGTTGACATCAAGGCGTGGTGGATCAGGGGATAGAGCATTCGCCTTCCGATGAGGCGAACCGGATTCGAATCTCAGCTACGGCTGGTCTATACGAATTCCGCAACCGGCTCACCCGGTCCACAAAGTTGACGTAAAATATCCTCAGTGGTAGACGGATCATGGATTAGAGTACCCTTGCCCTCAGACTAACCAAGGGAGGTTTTCGCTGTTTTCCTCTCTATGCAACGCAAAATTCGCTCTAGTGCCTTCAAAAAGCTCTCTACCAAGGCAAATTACTCCCAATACTTGATTCAGGAGTTCCCTTGTCATCTGGTTCAAAATTGCAAGGCTACGGAATTGAATATCAGTAGTCATAAACCCATAAAATTAAGTCGGCTGTTATAAAATAAAATAAATAGCACATTAACATCATTGGTTTTCTAACCATGTGAACAATTGAGAGAGTTCAGTTGGACACACAAAGCATATTTGTAGCATATTTAAATCATTCAAAAGAGAATTAAGGGGGCCAAAATATTAAAACAGACTTCATTTTAAAAAACGGACTTCGGAAGTAAAAGAGGACCATTTCCCCTGTTACTAAAGTAGTCTTGCTGCAATCAAGTAAAATTTTCCTAAAACAGGGCTAAGGAAGACATACACTTTTAATTCAACCGTAGAAATTACAAAAAATCTGTAGTACAGGTAGCCACAACTTATACAGTTTCATAACAGCACGGCTTGAATCAGTAATTGCAAAAAATATCGATCGATTTATTTTCTAGTTTTTTTTTTTTTTTTTTTTTTTTTTTTTTTTTTTTTTTTTTTTTTTTTNTTAAAAAAATACACTGTTTGTAGTACATAAAAATTTACAGTTATGAATTTGAAGTAAAAATATGAGATAACCCTACATTTTTTCGTCAAATTTATTTTTAATCTTGTTAGCTATAGATTAATTCTCTTTCAGAACTCACGTTTTACATTTTGGCTATAGAGCTAACGGCTAATTTAGCTTTCATATAGAATAATTAAACATGAAACATCAGAAATACACTGAGGTGACAAAAGTCGTGGAATAGCAATATACAGATGGCGGTAGTATCGCGTACTAAATGCATACATGGGAAGTGCACTTGCAGGACTGTGGTGTTCAAGTTATTCAACTGAGACTGTTTTTGATGTAATTATGACCACAATACTAGAATAAACATACTTTGAACGTGGAATGATAATTAGAACTAAACGCATAAATATTCCATTTTGGAAATTGTGAGGTAATTCAATATTCCTAGAGCTACAGTGTCATTAATGTGCCAAGAATAGTTAATTTCAGACATAACATCACATGGATAACATAGTGGCCGACAGACTGCATGTAATGACCAAAAACTCCGATGTATACTTGATATTGTCAGTGTTGACAGACAAGTAACATTGCGTTAAATAACTGTAAGCATCAATGAGGTTGAAATATTGTAGTAGAAGACCGACTTGTGTGCCTTTACTAACATCACAACATCACCTCTAATGTCTCTCCAGGAGGCGTGACCATGTCTGTTGGACCCTAGACGACTGGAAAACTGTAGTATGCACTGTGGGTCAGAAGACCATGATCTTTGGCCAAAAGTCAAAAATTAAATTTTCAACCAAAATATGCGTAGGCAGTTTTAATATAGCCTAAATTAAGTATTCAGAATCATTTCAAACATTATAATTTACTTTTTGGACCGACGAGAGTACAATATAATGAAAAATATGTTAAAAAAAATTTTTTTTAAATGTAACTTTTAAATTTTTATTTCAGAAATATATACAGGAATTTCACCTGACTGTTACATTTTTATTAGAGTTATTAGTCTGAAATTATAGTACAATTTTTCAATTTGTTGGATTAGTTAATACTCCTGACAAACTTATAGTTTATATCTTATCATTTGACATTTTACAATGTTTGAATGACTTTCGAAACTTAGTTCCAAAAAGTTCCAATCGGTAATTAGCTATACTTTTTTCTGTTGTCTTCTTTGATGTTTCTTCTTTCGGAAAAACCAGCCCCATTTTGCCCTCATTGCAAAGGTGGACTAAGTATACCGAAAAAAAAAAAATTATGTTTTTCTTCTTCATGTTTTCGCGTTATTTTGTAATATTACTCCGGAAATATAATTTGCTTTCCAATTTTTAATATAAAATTAGAAAATTATTATATTTTTATTGCTATATTTAATTATTTAAACGTACTATATTATTTTTTTATTTCAAAATTTCAACTATGAATTCAATTTACCTGCACATAAAAACCCCCAAATTTTGAAACAAATTTTATCGAAATACTAATTTTAGCCACGAAACCTTGGATGCTGGCCCACTGTGGTATGGTCAGATCTTGGCCAAAGGATAAACAGATGAGTCACTATTTCAGCTGAACAGAGTTGATGGGAGAGTTCAAGTGTGGCGCAGACCTCACGAAATCATGAACCCAAGTTGTCAACAAGGCATGGTGCAATCTAGTGGTGACCCCTGTGGACATCTATATAGAGGCTGCATGGTTGAATATTCCTGTAAGAGACTTTCAACTGCTTGTTGAGTCCACACCAGGTCAAGTTGCTGCACTTCGAACTTCTAGAGGAGATCCGACACGATATTACCTATGACTTTCGCGACCTCAGTGTAATTCCTAATAACATAGGCAGGGTGGCTCAGGGGATGAAGCATGTTCTTGCTTATGAGGTGTCTGTGTGGCTGGTCAATTCAAATACTGCTCCCGACTCGCTCGCATCAACCTCAGTGCTGACGTAAATTATCACAAGTCTCAAAACCGGTAGAACCTCTCAAGTTTCCAGAGGTTTCCTCATCATGCAATACAAGTGAGATTGATTTTTACTCAAGAAGTTCTTGGCAAAGATGAGACCACACTGGTGTTAATGCAGGAGTTCCCTTGTCTACAAGGTTGTGATCAAAAATCCAAAGCTACGAAGTTGAACAATGGCGGCCACAAATCATTGCTCGGTTGTTCGACGACTGTTATGAATGTTACAGTAAGAACGACTTTAGGTTCAGCAAAATAGAGGTTTAACATGAAGTGCAGTCACTATTAAAAACTATGTTACGACAAAGAAGAAAAAAAAGGGCATTTAAAATAACTGAAAATAACATGTTTCAAATGGTAGTCAAGTTACTTGGATTAGAGCAGGTCCCATGTGGCTGTAGTGATTAGAATATTTTTGAGCAAAATCATTTATGCTGTTTAGCCGTTCTTCTTCCAGCTGTTGGAAGGCCGCGGTGGCCCTGTATACAGACGTTTCCCAATCTTGCCTGGCTCTCTCTCCCTTGATACAGGAATTATAATAGTCAATATCAGCCCTAGTCAAAAGTTCTTCTGCTTTCCTTTTCTTCGCTTCCAACTAGAACAAAATAAAAAGCAAAATTATTTGTCGTCCTAAAGGCTGATTACAATTAAGGCTATTTTTCGATGGCTCCGTCGTAACATGAAATTATGTTTTTTTTTATGAATAATATGCTATTTTTATAACTGTTATGAGTTTGTAACTGTTACTTATAACAGTTAGGTCAAGTTTAGCCCATCTAAAGCCACAACGCTTATTTTGAAAATGGCGCAAAACGTCAATATGGAGAAAATCCACAGTTTTGTGAAAATGAAAAGTGTTTGTGGTCTAATTTTTTAATATTTAAAAATTTACTCCAATGCTAAGTTACTTGGGCTCATAGAAATTTGCAAAAAATGAGAATGAGGTAGTGATTTTCATAATTTTCATCTAGGTGGAAAAATGTCTCCAAATTTGTGATTTTTTTTAAAAGTTTAATAACTTTTAAAATATTTAAGTTATTTATCCGTTCTAAAGCCCCGATAATTTTTCACTGCAAGATTATAAATATATATAGTTTAGAATCATTGCATTGCTTCATGTGTAAGGCACTTTACCTATGCTTTTTTTTTCTCAGCGACAGAGCTTTGAAGAATAGCATTAAATAATTAAATCATTATTTATACACATAATCGGCTTAAGTCGTTGGGCAAACGGAATATTTGACTAAGATTCTTTTTCTTTTTTCAATAATCATAAAAATTTAAAATTCTTTAATCTAGACATAGCTCCTAAAGGTTTCTAAATTTTTCGATTCATTTAAATTAAAATCGTTAAATTAGATAATGGGTTAAAAATCTTTCGATAATTATCTAAACAGTGTTCGTGAACCCAAAATTCCTCTGTTATCCTAACCAATATCCAGTTCCTATACCAAAGCCTCACTTACTTTCCAAACCTTTAGAGTAAATTCCAAATGAAATTTTAAAACGATATTAACAATAATAATGATAATAGATAAAAAAAATTTAAAATTGTCGTTCTTAGAAACAATATGCAAAAAAAAAAAGAAAAAAAAAGAAATCATAAAATCGATTTCAATACATTAAGAAAAAATTCTAATCAAACTAATTTCCTGAAAACCTTGGAAAATGTTTTGTCCGGGTCTCACACCTGAACCTCTATCAATGAAACATTCCATTCCTGATCAGAAAATTATTATGCTTGCTTTGAACGATGTATTTAGGCTAATGGCTTTAAACAATTAAAGGATATTATAAGAAATTTGTTATTTCTATAGAAAGGAAATATTAATAAATCTTTAAAAATTTTATTATTTTTTCTACTATACTATTTCTTTAAGAATTTTCTGATTTCATTCTGATGGGAAATTGGTATGTTCTAGCCGACCGTTTTATACCATATAATAGCGATTTTAAACGATTAGAGGACATTAGAAGAAATATATTGTTCCTAGCGAGTGAAAGTCCTATTAAACAATTAAAGGACACTAAAGGCTTTAAACAATTAAAGGACATTTTAAGAAATTAGTCATGTCTATAGAATGGAAATATTAATAAACCTATAATAATTTTCTGATTTAATTCTGATGGGAAATTGGCATGTTCTAACCGATGGTTTTATACATATAATAGCGATTTTAAACGATTAGAGGACATTCGTAGAAATATATTATTCCCAGCGAGTGAAAGTTCCATTCGGTGATTATAATAAGATAGGAAATTTGAGATATAAAAAATCGAAATCAACGGAGAGTGATGTCTGTTTCGTGAAAAGACAATAAAATCATTCAATAATTTATAGTGATGTTCTCACTTTATGGATATCCTTTTCTGTCAGGAGTTTTCCCTTATTGAGTTTGCAGTCAACGACCTGGTCTTGCATTCGCTCATTTTCTCTGGCACATGAGTAGCTGATTTTTTTGGCTTTCAACTCTTCATTCCTCCTGTCATTGAGTGTCTTCGATGCTTTGTCTACTGTCCCCTCCACCTGTGTCCGGTACAGGGAGGAAGAAATTCACTTTTAAAAAAATATAGTACAGAAAACATATAAGTAAGAATAAAAAAATGCATAAAGTAACTTCTAAAATAAAAGCTTAGAATTAGACTCTTTTAAGGTTTTTCCTCCAGTAATACAACTGTGTGATCTGATGTGTGGCGCTCTCATACATTTAGCTGTTGTTGTTGTTGTAGTTCATTTACGTCGCACTAGAGCTGCACAATGGGTTATTGGCGACGGTCTGGGAAAAATCCCAGAGGATGATCTGAAGACATACCATCACAATTTTGAACCTCTAGGGGCCTAGTAAAGGGCTCGGTGGGTGCCATCAGTAGCCCGACGATCTGCAAGCGAAGTCGAGCCCTTTACTGTAGAACAGCTTAACGAGGATCAATACCGCACACCCTCGGTCCCTACACAGACTGATTCAAGTGGTCACCCACCCGCACACTGACCGCAGCCAGCGATTCTTGACTTCGGTGATCTGCTGGGAACCGTGTCTTAACGATCAGTCCACTACGGGACCATAAATTTAGCAGTTGACGAACCATTTGATTTTAAGAGAAGTTGATAATGGAATAAAAATTTTAAGTAGTTGATAATAGAATTTAATTAATTTTTTTTTCAGTAGACTATCAAACGGAGCTAACTTTATTTTTGTAAGATGTTAAAGGGAAATAAAATGTAAAGCGTATTGTTTTCAAAAAACTTGGGTGGGATTTTCGATGGTGGTCGAAGTTAATTTAAAAAGTAAATGTACCCACGTTTTTCCTTTCAAATGGGACAAAGTGGAATTATTTTCTTGAGGTTTGTCCACTTAGACAAAGAGATTTTTAAAATTTTAATTCTTTTTTTATTATTATTTCCTTAAATTTTATATCTGTTTGTTTGTTAAGGTCGGTAAGAGGCCGAAATATCGATAACAGATAAAATAAAGAAATAGTTTGCTCACAATAATTTTAGGAAACAATCTCAGGGTCCGCACTAAGCATTCGCCTCCTCGTCCGTCGTTAAAAGCGATAAAATCGTAAATTTGGCGAATAAAATTGTGTTTTGGAGAAAGTATTGGGGGGCGAATGATTTTTTCCACCAGAAAGAAAAAAATATATTTAACTCGATCCTCAAAATTACATCAAAATGAATTTTTCTAAACAAATCAGCATTTTTTATTCGATTACAGCTATTTTCGGTCCAACCAATTAAAATTGGGTCCAAATAATATAAGCCTGAAACAAACTACCGTAAAATAATCAAATTAATTATTAAACTAATTTGAAAATTAAAAATTAAGCATTAAAAATTGTCAAGATTTGCATTTGACAAAGACTTTCGAAAATTGGCAAATACTTTTGATGTTTGAATAATTTACTGTCGAATAATTTTAAATCCTTAGGTCGGGCCCTGAATCTTATCTTGTATTGCCATCAGGCACATAATTCCAGTTGAAATTTGTGCACTCTAGCTATTCGAAACGTCATAGGAATTTCGATCAATGACAAATCCTAACAGCAGAGCTTCGGTGGCTCAGGAGATAGAGCGCTACATCATAGGTCACATGTGTGGGTATACATGATCTTCTTCTTCTTAAAGTGCAAGTATCCAAATACCAAAACGAGACCAACAATTTAAGAATTATGTAAAGGGAACCTAACCTACAGTTTTGAAGACAAAAGTTGTTCAAAAGCTTCAAAATTGTTCTCAAAAAAGCATAAGTAGAACACAACATTGTAAAAAACAGAGTTGGCCGTTGATTACAGTAATCGATTACAACTGTAATTGATTACAGATAATTACAGCTATGTAATCAATTACTTGTAATCACGATTACAAGTAATCAATTACTTGTAATCGTGATTACAACTTTCAAAAAATTTTGATTACAGCTGTAATCATGATTACAATTTTGATTACAGTAATCAATTACTTGTAATC